TCCTGCAATTTGCAAGCCTAGACGAGTCCAATGTGGGTGCAGGGCGGCTGTCTCAGGGGAAATGGCGCCGAATCCCAAGTCAGTGTGAGCGACATGTGTGCAGCCTTCTCTCTGGCTCTGCTCATGGGTGGTCAGAGGAGCGCAGGCATTACACTTCCTGGAGCTCTAAGTCAGGGCAACAGACAACAGGGTAAGCAGCTGCACAAAGCGGGAGGCCTCCCTGATGCAGGGAAGGGTGGCTAAGAAGACACAGAACAGGGCACAGGGCCCGGAAGCCGACCGGCCTGGGCCGCACAGCAGGACGTGGGGCTCCTCCCACCCGGAGGACGAGGCCGCCTCCCTCCTGGCCACATCCGCTCCACCAGCCTGGCCGGGCTCCACGTGGCTGCTCTGCACCGATGTGTGTCTGAGTTGCGCTCCCCGCGCATCATTCAGGGCCTGAAACATGCATATCACCGGGAGAAAACTTCTCGCCGCAGCTCATGTGGCGCCCCGGGAGCTGTGAGAGTGCAGAGGGTGCCCAGTGGTGCCCGCCACCGCACGACTGGAGAGCCGCTCGCCCCCGGGAAGGCCATGCCACTCCGTGCGTGCCTTCATCACCCAGAGTCACACGTCCCCGAGGGACGTGGGTCACCACAGGGGGCACCGCCTCAGGACAGTGCCAACGCAGTCCTGTGGAAATGCGTTTCTCTGTGACCTGACACTTGGACACAGAAGGTCAGACTAAAGGAAAGGGGAGAATCTCAGTCATCGTCTGCTTGTCAGAAGAGCGGAGCGTGGCCCATGGCCCTCAGCAGGCGCCCGGACAGGAGCTACCCGCCTCTCTCTGCCAGCATCTCACTTACAGGCTCATGGATTTTAGGGTCTCACTGCTGATGTTCATGCTTCTTACTCCATGTGGACTCAGAGTCTTAAGCAATGCTCCACATGAATGTGGTTTGGGGACACGATGTACCAAAAGCACACCGTACGTCTAGCGAGAGACATCTAGGATGTCGGCTACGATGGATTCTGAATGATCCCCCCAAAGGACCGTGTGTGAAGGCCTGGTGTCTAGTCTTGTGCCCCTGAGAGGTGGGGGAACCTTGAGGAGACAGAAGGAGGGACCCTCCTGGGGGCTGCCCTTGAAGGGATATTGGGACAGACTGTTCTCTGCGCCTGCTTCCTGGCTGCTGGGATGCTAAAGTTCTTTCGTCACCCACCCCTACTGTGGTGCACCATGTGGCCACGGGCCCAACACAGTCCACTGGAGCAACTGTGGATGAGCACTTCTGAAACCATGAACAAAAACAGATCTTTATCCTTGGTTTTGATTAATACATGGATTTGGTCACAGTGGCTGGAAGCGGACAGACATGATGTTCAAGATGCTTATGTAGGACGCAGAGCTGCCTGAGTAGACGATATCTCAGTACAGGAAACTGAAATACTTATGGAGATACATTACACCCGTGGTGAAAAAACTCAGTGTGCCCAATCTCCAACCTGTATCTATAGACCACCGGCTTCCAATAGAAATCTCATGAGATCTAAAAGAAACAAATCCTAAGAAGTAGATTCTAACATATATCTGAATGAACAAAGGGCCAAGAACAGCCGGGCCCCCCTGAAGAGGGAACAGAAACCCTCACGTTCCCAGCTGTGGCTGTTCCCACGTCTGCATAGTTACGGTCTCTACAATGAAACAGGGAAGGTGTAAGGCCAGTGTCTCACTTACTTTTCTCTTGCTCAGACAAAATACCTGCCTCCCACGATTAAGGAGGGGAAGGATTATTTAGCTCACAGTTAGCAGAGGTTTCAGTCCATATTCAGCTGGCTCCAAGGCAGAGTGGCACATGGCAGAGGGCAGCAGCTCATGGCAGTGGAAAACAGCAAAGAGCAAAGGGAGGAGCAGGGGCTGCAGCAGCTGGTGAGCCTCTCTCTCCTCCTTACATTGTATGCAGATTGTCCAGACCAGATTATGGGGGTGCAGCACTCACCCCCATAATCCTGGCACTGGCTCATGAGTTAATCTCAAACTCTAGAAGCCTGCCCCAGTGACAGCATGAGGCTTTGGAGGGACACCTGGACACAAACCATAAGAGGAGTGGAGCAGAGAGGCCACGGGAGGAGACAGCGTGCACGATGCAGCCTCTCCTAACAGAGCCTTACCTGGCCCTGCCTGGGCACAGGGTGGGGCAACCTGAAGCTGCTGTGGTTGCGCCAAATGTCATGGGAAATTGACACAGGACACACAAATACTCTTGCCCAGGGTATGAAACTAGAAACCAGTAAATTTAGAGTGTCACCGTGGAAGGTAGGATGGTGAGCATGGGTAAGTGGTACACCATGGAAGGAGGATCCCTGGATATAGGCTTATTGTATCATTTTTCAACTGTTGCAGATGTTGTTTGTCATAGAACAAGAGTTCTATGCAGTCGTGCCTTTGGTGGTCCTGTGCTCATTTCTCTGGCTTCTCCCTCCTGAGCCCTCCAGCACATAGATGCTGTGGTTCTCCCTGAGTCTGGAGCTTGGCTCCACTAAGTGCCATTCTTGCAGTGGGCTGGCCAGCTCACAGGCACCCCCACGCAGGTGACTGCCTGAGAGCCACTGTCCTGGATCCCATCGCTGTTGCCCGTCCTCTCTCCTGCGGGTTGGCTTCTCCTCTGTGCTGGGGCACCCTCAGGTTGCTGTGTCCCACAGCCCCACGTGGCAGGCTGTCCCTCAGGAGAGACGGAGGCTGCATATGCCTGTCTCCCTATAGGACCTAAAGGGACAACTGGACGGCAAGGCTGCTGGGACTATGTTTGCATCAGTGGTCTGGCTGAATCCTCTGGCCAACCCTGGGTGCTGTCTGGCCTGTGACCTGGGCCTCCGAGAGAGCACTTTCTCACGCCTCCCTCCATGTGTACGGGCCACTCTCTGCTGTCACTCCCTCACCTCTTTAAACGCTGGGTGACCTCCAGCACCCTGAAAGGCCACGCCCATCTTTCTGTCCTCCCTAGCACTCCCTAGAAGATGTCACAGCCTGTGTTTCACATGGCCCAGGAATGCAGGGACCTTCCTGTGACCTGGGACTTGGGCAGCCACTGCCCGCCTGGCCTCCCTGAGCAGACTGCTGCCCTCTGCCTTCTGACACATAATTGCTGCTGTGTCCCCAGGAGCTGAGCCCCAGGATCCTGCCATCCTCCCCAGTGTAAGCCCCACCTTCTTCCTTGTTGGATGAGCTTGAAAACAAAATTGTACCCTTGAGTCTTCCCTCCACTTTTGCACATGCTCCCGCCCTCCCATTTCTGCCCCTTTTCCACAGATGGTGGTCTTCCGATCCACCCAGCCAGAGCAGTTCTTCGATTGCCTGTGTTAGAGTAGGGCATTCAGTTGCTTAAACCCCTGGATTGATCCTTCAGTCTCAGAGGAAAAAGTCAAACACCTCACATGTCCTCAGGCCATATTTTTTGAACTCTGGCTTCTCCATTGCATGTGCAGTTCCTCCTAGCCCTCCAGGCCTGCTCCTGGCTGGACCCTTGCGCCTGCAGTTCCCTCTCTGTGAGATCTGCTCCCTTCTGGGCCACATGCCCAGGGCCTGCACACCATGCGACAGGCCCCCAGACTTGGGTCTCCTGAGTTAGGCCTCCTTGGCAGGCTTCTCTGCCCCTTCTTGGCTGACATCGCTTCACAGTGCTGCCTCCATGTTTGCTGCATGTTCCTAGTGACACCTGTTTCTCTCCTCTGACATGTAGCTGTCTGTGACTCCTGTTTGGTCTCTGTCCTACCTGCCCTAGTTCTCTATTCCTGCAGTGACAAATGTTCACAAACCCAGCAGTGAAATCCAGCACATCTGTCATTGCCCAGTGGGCTTGGCCGCCTGCTTGAGTCTGACTCTCAAGAGAGCAAATCCGGGTGGTCCAGGCTTTGTGCCCGCTGTGGGCCTGCAGCAAGTCTCCTCCCATGTTTGGGCTGGGTTGCAGGGTGAGGTTTCCTTGTGTCCTTGCAGCTGTCACCTGGGGGCGGTGCATCTTGCAGAGCTGTCCATCCTCACAGCCTTGTGACTCCCCCTAAACCTTCTTAGCCAGCTGTGGCCAGTTGGGTCCTTTTTCTGGGCTTTAAATCATTGCAGCTCCCCCTTCTGACAGTCATATTTGTGATTAGATTGGGTCCACTGGGATAATCCAGGATAATCTCTGGGTTTTAAGGTCGTGCACCTACGTGCCATCTGCACACTGTCTTTTGCCATGGAGGAGAACAGTTTCTCAGGTGTGACACCAGGGGGTGCCACCCTGTCACCTTCCTGCCTAGGTAGGACAGCAACACCTGTTGCAGTTAGTTTTAGACTCTAAACTTCCTGTCTGAGGCCTTTGATGGATAGTATATCCCTCACCCCCTTATACACGTTTCACATTATGTGGTTATTGGCATTTCTTTCATGATCGGCAGTGTGGTGCCTGAGTGTGGACCATGTGGGTGGGCAGTGACGGGAGCTGTTGCTGACATACAGCTTCACAGAACCAGGCCCGCCGTCCCACAAGAACCAGGCCCGCCATCCCGCAAGACACGCTTGCTTTTCCCTCTTTTTAAGTGTTGGAATAAAACACTGAAGGCATTTCATTACAGATATACCATATGATATGTTGTACATGGGGTCCAGGCCAGCCAAGACGTGGACCCTCACAGATATGGTGATGGCCATGCCAGGGCTCCTGTCACTGGAGTCATGACAGAACCCTAGACAGGGTCGGAAGCCACCTCGCTCTGCAGAGAAGGGCACAGGCACAGACCGCAAGTGACCTAGCCGGGTCGCAGTGCTGAGCTGGGCTCTCCCTGGCTGTGCTGGGGGAGAAAACCCCAGGAGCACGTGGCCCTGGCCCCCACAACCCGGGCTACTTCCAGTGGGAAGGCCCAGAACTGTGGGGGCACCTGTCGCAGCCTGGCCCCTGCCCACACTCACATTCGGAGCTGCCTTCATCTCTCGTGCTGCTTTTTCAACACCTTTGTGCCTCCTTGTCTCCGCCCATCCCCGGCAGACGCATACCCTAACACGGAAGTCGTCTACGTCTGGACCAATGGCTCCACCAAGTCTGTGGTGGTGGCCGAAGACGGCTCCAGACTGAACCAGTACCACCTTATGGGGCAGACGGTGGGCACTGAGAACATCAGCACCAGCACGGGTAAGCACCTGCAGGGCCAGGAGCCCCAGGGACCTTGGGCTCCGCCTCCCATGTGCAGGGGACACACTGGCCACTGGCAGAAGCCCCAGCCAGCCACACTGTAATGGCAGCACAGCCATGTGCCTTGGGGCATCCCTGCAGTGTCCAAGAGCCACCAGCTGCAGCTGCCAGGGCTACAAGGGGGAGGACAGGCTCGGTCTGCAGTGCATCTGCCACCCTAGGAACAGGCCTTGCCCTCCCGCAGACACCAGGCTGTCTCTGTAGGGAAGCCAGGGCTCCCTGCCTGTCCTCCAGGCTGCCTGCCCCTCCTCCTGCACCCCCCATCCTCCAGGCTGCCTGCCCCTCCTCCTGCATCCCCTGTGCTGCACATTCAGAGACCTCCCTGGGGCTGAATCTGGGAAAACACCACCAAGCCGCACAGAAGGAGGGGCCGAGCCAGTACAGAGAAGGCAGCAAGCCCCCTCAGCCCCAAACCTGGGCCTGCCTGCGCCTGGCTTTCCTCATGCATTGCAGGGGCCCGAGTTACAGCACACACTGGACCGCTGGGCCTCAGGCTCAGTGGTCAGACCTCTCCTAGCTGGCGGTCACCAGGTACAGGAGTGAGGGCCTAGGGCTGCCGCAGTCGTCCATTGTGGCAGAGAAGAAAAGCCCGCGGGGCAGGCGGTCCCTGATCGCAGGACAAGACCTCAGCCCCGAGGATCCCTCAGGGAGGCCCTGGTGTTGTGGGCTCTCAACATAGAAACCAGACCAAAATCTAATTAATAAAATTTGTGAACCTTTATTACTGGGCCAGGGACCCCTTGACTATACTCACGCAGGAGAGGACCAACAGCGAGAGCCTTGGAAGTACAGAGGCTTTACCGGTAGAGGACACAGCCTGCTTGGCAAACCATTTGGTCCTCTAACACAGACAGAACAGCACCTTTAGGGGCAGCGTGGCCACCATTCAGCGTACATCCTTTTGGGGAGCATTGTTTAGTTCTCGTTTAGCATACATGTGCGTACACGTGGTCCGACTACCACGGCAGCGCATTTAAGTGGGTCAGCAGCACCTTAGTTATTTTGTACAGCTAGAAACACTTTGACTTTTACTTTGGTTTATCCTGTAGGTCGATTCTGGGAACTCTCAGTCCATTGATGATTTATCCACGGTGCGCCAGGCCTCCTTGTGGTCTTACAAGGAAGCAGGGTCACAGAAGGTTGAGCAGAGTAATCTTTTGCACGCAGTTTTACATTAACTCATCACGTTACTTTTATCTCAGCCCTTCACACCTGGGCCGCCGCTGTTGGATGGTAGCATTCACCCAGGCCGCCAGCAGGGCGCATGTGGGGGACCCAGGGCCCGGCCTGCTCTGCACGAGGGCAGGCCCTGCCCAGCTGTGTGCCCTGCACACTGGGCACCCCGAGGTGGTCAGAGGGCTGTGGGCACAGGGTCACCACGGGGTCCTACTGCTGCATGGAGAAGAAGCAGGGACCGGGCTGGCTCTGGAAATGAGTACACGCTTTCATGGCAGAGGTCTGGTGTGGAGCCTCGCGGCAGCCACGGACAGCGCTGTTTGGGGCTCCTTATGTACAGCTCTGGTTAAGACCCCTAGCTGAGGTTTCTGCTCCTGTTTACACTCTAAGAAGAGCACCTCTTAAAGCATTGTCTGATTTCCCACTTCCATTTCAAAGTGAATCAAGCAGAATGAGCCCAGCTATTCCAAGCCCCATATAAAGAAGTACATGACTTGGCTAGAAGAGCTGCGGTGTTGCACCCTGGCTAAAGGCTCGGCTGTTGGTACCAACCCACCCAGCCCGCTTCTTTCTGTCTCACTGGAGAGCCCTGCCCTGCCCAGCCCTGCCCTGCCCTGCCCTGCCCTGCCCTCGGTGTGCGAACCCCATCCACACCCCCAGGGCCTCTCAGGGCTGCTGCCGATGTGGGGTCCAAGTGCTCCCAGTGCTTTGGTCTCTGATGTAGGGCATGCCCTCAGCGAAAGTACACAGGGCACCCGCAGCCAGCCTCGCTCAGCTCCAAGCTGTCACTCGCATGGTGGCACAGGGGCTGTCATTGGCCTCCAGTGTCCCAGCACTGTCCATGCAGCAGGCAGATGGTGCCCCTTGCAGAGGAGACCCTCAGGGATCTGTGTGGCTGCAGACTCCAGCTGCCCCTCCGCTGTGTGTGGACAATCCAGCCCCCAGGCGCACTGTCCAGCCCTTCCAGGGCCTGAAGGGCCCCACATCGGCGCAACGTAGCCCCTGCCCCTTGGAGCAGCCTCGCTTTCTCCCCAGGAGGCACACACTGAGGTGGCAGCACGGTGTGCCACAGCCCCGTGCCCTAACATGCCCACAGCCTGCCCATCCCAGCTCCTTACCAGTTAACCATCAGAACAGCATTGTTCTCAGCGAAGAACGGGAGGTCTCCGTTTGCCTTCCACACGGCCAGGCACATCCAGAGAAGGCACTGGGACATCGCCCAGGAAATGTCCCCAATTCCCAAGATCAGAGGGTGCCTGGCTCTCTTCTGGGCAGCAGGAGGGGTGAGCAGCCTGTAGCTGCTCCTCACACTCGGTGGGCTGGGCAAGTACAGACCTCGGGGCCAGGCTGGCCTGCCGCGCTGGCACGTCCCCAGCCGGGCAATGGGCAGTCTGTGCACTCAGGGCGACACTGTGAGATATTCTGAGCTCTCCGTGCAGGGCTAAATCCTGAAATCCTGACCGCAGTCGCAGGCAGGGGGCGGATGGGAGCAGAGATTGCGACCAGGGATTAGCCAACACACAAATGTGGTTTCCCGAAGGGAACGGCCATCTTCAGGGGCTGGCGGTCCAGAGACCCATAAAAGCAAGGCTGAGACATTCACGCGTCCTCTGCCTTTCTCTGACGGACTCCACTCAGATCAAGGCCTGACCTGAAGGCCAGGCGGGCAGAGGGCCCGAGGATGCAGGTGCCCGTGTGGCGCAGGGCTGCGGAGAGCGCGCGGCCCCACGTGCACTGTCGCTGCTTGCAGGCGACTACACGGTCATGACAGCGCATTTCCACCTGAAGAGGAAGATTGGCTACTTCGTCATCCAGACTTACCTGCCCTGCATCATGACCGTGATCCTGTCCCAGGTGTCCTTCTGGCTGAACAGAGAATCGGTCCCCGCCAGGACGGTTTTCGGTGAGCGTCCCCCAGCCAGGCCTGGCCAGCAGTGGGTGGTGCTTGATCCTCACCACCCCGAGGCAGCAAAGCCCCTGCCGCTCTCGCTCAGGCCTACACGCCCTCCCCCAGGGGCTCTGGCACAAGCGGCCTCCTCAGGCTCGGGCAGGGATGCATTTGGTTGGGTTCGTTTGCAGGCAGGTCTCACTATGGGGTGCAGGCTGGCCTTGCGCTCACTTCCATAGCCCAGGCTGGCCTCAAACTCAGGGCGGGCCTCCCGCCTCTGCCTCGTGAGTGCTGGGAGAGCTCTGGGGATTTTGAAAGTGGAGGAAACCTTTAGGATGTGGAGCTCAGCAGGAAAAAGCTAGGTCCCCGGGCTTTGCCAGGGCCACCAGGATCTGGAGGCCCCTTGCTTCCCGTCCTTGCCACCCAGCCGCACAAGGTGGGAAGCTTGCTCCATCACGCCTCCTGCTGGGAGGGGCATGGCAGTTGGCTGGGGTCCTAATCAGCAAAGCAAACCCAAGTCATGGTGTGAACTGCCGTCTCATAGTCTTAAGCCCATGCGGGTTCCCTGGTCCATGAGCACACGAACGCGCTTGAAGCGTGGGACGGCGTGAAAGCCAAGAGCTGCAGTGGCCTGGTGACGTTCTGGCCTTTGATTCTATTCTGTGGCTTCCATAACGAGGCTCCATGGCCTGGGTGGCTCACGCAGCAGAAGTCTCTGTCTCCGTGCAGAGGGCTCGGAGCCCAAGGTCAGGGTGGAGACAAGGACAGCCCCTCCAGGCCCCGTGGTTTCCGGTGGCTCCCTGGCCTGTGGAGCAGAGCTCTGGGCTCACTTGTCGACCTGTATGTATGCTTTCCCCAAACGTCACCTTTTAAAAGAATAGTAGTCATGTCACAGTCCACCCCACGATGGGCTCCTTTGGCCGCAGACACATCCATAAAGCCTTCATCTCCAAGTAAGTCCACAGTACGAGGCAAGGATTGGAACATGCGGCTATTAAGGGTGCTCTCCTTCAAGTCTAGCCCGCCGCTGGTGTGTGGCAGCCACGCACCCACACTGTCGTGCGCTGGGCAGACAGCACGCTGCGAGAAGGGAGGTAGGGTACACACCAGGGCCGCGTGGACTGGGAGCGCGAGGACCGGGCTCCAGAGAGGCCTCGTCTCTGCTCACCGACCCAGGGCCAGTGTGAGCATGTGGCCAAGCATCTCTGAATCTTCAGGCTTCTTCCTGAAAAGGAGGCAAGGACACCCTGCACACGCGGCTTAGGTCAGAGTCCAGCAGTTAGCAGGTGCCCCAGCGTTGACCCATAACTGCCAGTCCTCGGGCGACATCTCTCCCCGAGGAAACGAATCCTCCTTTGTGGTCCCTGCCGCATTTCCTTAGAGGCCACAGACATCTGCCAGGATGGGTCAAAGTAGCCCCTTCTGTGTCTGTCCATTCCCCGTAGTGCTGTCGTGCGGGGACCCGGGGCTCTCCCACCCGCCCCTACTCTCTGCTCCTCCCTTTTGCCCTTGCAGGGGTGACCACAGTGCTGACCATGACGACGCTCAGCATCAGCGCACGCAACTCGCTGCCCAAAGTGGCCTACGCCACCGCCATGGACTGGTTCATCGCCGTGTGCTATGCCTTCGTCTTCTCCGCGCTGATTGAGTTTGCCACAGTCAACTATTTTACAAAGCGAGGCTGGGCTTGGGACGGCAAAAAAGCTTTGGAAGCGGCCAAGATCAAGGTGCTGGCTTTATTTTTCTCCCCCTTTTTCCTTTTGGTCCCCTTGATGGAGCAAACGTGCCTGATCCCACTTCCACATCCGAGACAAGACTTCTCCTCCAGAAGGGTCCCCCCCCCTCCAGTCGGAGCAGCGCAGGTTCTTAACTGCAGCAGCTCACTCGTGTAACTTATTTTCAGTCCCCAGGTTCATTCACACACAGGGCTGCTGCTGTGCAAGTGGCTCAAGCATGTTTAGATGTCAGGCTGTAATTTCTGCGAAGGGGACTCCTGTTCAGGGGCGACTTGTCAGGGTTTCAGCTGCACACGTCCCTTTCCTGCACGTTCATTTTCCACTTCGCTGTGCAGTGCGTCCTCTGCAGGGTGGCACTTGTGTCATGAAGGGAAGACAGGGCCCGCTGGATGCGGTCCCCCAGCCGAGCCCACCCAGTCCACCAGGTGGTCCAGCTCCCTTCAGCTGTGTGCAGGAACAGTCATGGGGCGTATCGCTGTGTTGGGAAGAACTGTTTGTGGGCTGCTCAGTGTGACCGATGCCCAAGCCCGAGGAGCGGCTGAGGCAGAAAAGGTGGCACAGGGTCCCAACCTGAAATGCTTCTTCAGGAAAATGCAAGCCTCCAGTCGAGGTGCCTCCCGCAGTATCTGATGCTTGAAGCGCACAGAGCCCATTCGGGGTGCTTCAGAAAGTTGGGAAGACGGGAGTGATCTGAGTAGACCGGACAACAGTGCGCGGTGGGAAAACACGGGCAGGGAGAAGGCGTTCTCGGGCCGGGAGGACGCTGGCCCGCACTATGCAGGCGTGATCCTGCAGCAGGAAACCCGGCTATCTGTGGGGAAGGAGGAGGGGTGCTGTCTGGGGCAGGAGGCTTCCCAGCACCCACCGGCATACTGCTGCTGAGCGGTGAATGTCGGAAGTGGCCTGGTCCTCTGTGGCTGCGAGGTGACAGGGAGGACTGAGCCTGAAGCAGAAGCACCGCTGCGAAGTCACTGGATTTGTGGGAGCTGTCAGCCCATGACTGGGAATCTAGGAGGAAAGGGAAGCCCAGGGTGAAGGGAGACACTGAAGATGCGGCTGGACTTTGCTTCTGGATATTGTGGACAGTGTGGCTAGTACTGTCGGGGCCACCCTCACACTCAGCCTACTGCCCTTACTGACCTAGCCGCCCTCCGTCTGGAAGGAGGCTGGAGGGAGGCAGGAGGAAGGGGCTGGTGTGATCGTCCCGTCCTGCAGCACTGCCTGTCTGGAATCTGCAGCATGCCTCCATCACAATGCGCGACTCCATCCCTGGGGGGCTGTGCTGCAGGCCTGTCTGCCCCTCTGCGCAGTGCCAGGTGAGGCCGTCAGATTCTGCAGGGCGGTGGCTGTGCGTGTGTGCATGGTGACCCTGCTCGTGGGCTGCTCGCGTGCTCCTGAAGTGACTGGAATAGAAGGAGGGCTGCTGAACGCAGACTGCATGCACTGGTTCCCATGCTGGGATTTTCAGAAGCAGCTGCTGTCTCCAAGTTTGTAGGAAAAGTAGCTGTTAGGAGCCAACCCCTGGAAAGGACAAAGCAGAAGGAAGGTCAGGCGGTGGAAGGTGTTTCTGGGCAGAGAGGCCCTGCACAGCTGCAGGGCTGCATGGGGAGATCTGCACGGGCTCTGAGGATGTGGCCAGGCGTGCTGCCCCAGCTCACTGGCCGCCCCTCTGCAGGCCCCTGTAGCCGCAGGTTCCCCTCCTTGGATTCAGCCATCTGCAGGACTGAACTATGTGAGCATCAAGGTTGCCATTGGAGCTGAACCCTTTGCGCTGTCACTGTCCCCTGACCCATCCAGGACAACAGTTTCCACATGGCAGTAGGCATCTGTGTCAGGTGGAAATGCTCAAGCAGAAAGAAGAGCAGAGATGTGGCCAAATGCTCTGCCACTTTATCTAAGGGTCGTGATTTTCTGAGGTCCCCAGAAGCAGCTCCTCCAGGACAGCAGGGGACTACGGTATCCTCTGAGTGTCTCCTTCCTGGGGGACTACACAGGATGGAAACCTCCCACAGAACCAAGCCCTGTTTACTGCTCTTTCCGGGGTGCCAGGCACGGTGCTCGCACGATGGTGGGTGTTGCTGACAGCACCTGCTCCAGGTGCGGTCCCTCCTCGCTGCCCAGACCCCAGAGGTTCCCCATGTCCCCTCACCTGGACCAGCATTTCCGCTGCCTCTCTCCACCGACTCCCCTCACGCCTTTGCTTATCTTCCTGCTCTCTATCTGTTTCAAAGATTGAATGATTATATTTCTCTGTTAATGAAACGGACTTTCTCAAAGCATTTGGTTGTGATTGTTGCTAAAACACACAACAAGGTTTGAAGGTTGGTTTTTTTTTTTTTTTAACAATAAGTACCTGCACACAGCACACACTTCACTGTGGTTACATTGTCTCCGTCTCTCTGTCACCTCTTTAATCATCCATCCATCTTATCCCACCTGTCTACGCGTCTTATTTTTTGATGCATTTCAAAATAAATTCCAGATGACAGTATTACCATGATATAATTCAGCGCGCGTATCATTAAAGTGTAATATTAGCTTGTTGTTTTATTTTCTCCAAGTAAAAATCATAGAGCATAAAGCGTGCAAGTACCCTGGCTACTGCCGCTGCATTGCCAAGCGTACTCCTGTGCACCCGAAACCTTTGTCAAGACCAAGAACATCACCCATTTCCAGAAAGCATCCTCAGCTTTCTCCCCCCACTCCGGCCTCCCCTGCCCGGATGTCAGCACTATTCTCATTTTTCCCATGATAAAATGTCTCGCCTATTCTAACATTTCATAGCCATGAAAAATAAAAACGTATGTTTCCACCAAACAAGAATATTCACAGCTGCTGAGCCCATAATCGTGAAGTAGGGAACAAGGAGGTATCCTCCAAGAGGAGACAAAGTGAGCTGGCACGAAAACTGCCACTCACCACTGAAAGGAATGAATGACTGATGGCGCCTTTGAAAGGTGATTGTCACGAGCACGGTGCTGAATGAAAGATGCCCCACTCCGGGCAGGACGTGATCGATAGGGTTTGGGTGTTTCTGTTTGTTAGCTTTTTGCCACACTGGGAGTTGGACCTAGGGCCTTCATGGTGAGCCCCGTTCTTTATTTTATTATTTTAGGACTAGGTGTCAACTCTTTGACCAAGCTGTGCTTGAGCCCGCTGTCCTAGGCTCTCAGAGTGCAGGAACCACAGCGGGCACCTGGCCCATGTGCACGGCTTGCGGTTGCTTGCGTCCCCCTTTCTGTATGGAATTCTCTAAGGCACCTTGGCGGTCCCCTTATGGCCACGTGCGGTGTCCTCTGTCAGGCATGCACTTACAGGTAAAGAAGCGAAGGTGCTCTGCCGGGTACGGGCCGTTCCAGTTCAGCTTGTCCTAACCCTGCATTGTTGGGGAGCGCGAACGTCGCGTGGGCCGCGCTGCGCAGCCCCTGCCTGCTGGCAGGGTGGGCTTCTAGACTCGAAAGTCCGTGGAGAGGGTAGGCTGCCCTCTCCCAAGGCCGAGCTGACTTCTCTTTAACTCCTTCAAGAGATACATTTTTAGGCCTCCCAAGTGCCTAGCCCATTGCCTGAATATCACGCACATAGTCTAACATTCTTACTATTTTTTGCAGAAAAAAGAACGTGAACTCAAGCTAAATAAGCAAACCAATGCTTATACTACTGGGAAGATGACCCACCCTCCCAACATCCCAAAGGAACAGACCCCAGCAGGGACCTCCAGCGCTCCCGGCGTCTCTGTCAAGTCTTCGGAAGAGAAGGCTTCCGAGAGCAAAAAGACTTACAACAGCATCAGCAAGATCGACAAGATGTCCCGAATCGTGTTTCCTGTCTTGTTTGGCACTTTCAATTTAGTTTACTGGGCAACGTATCTGAACAGGGAGCCAGTGATTAAAGGAGCTGCCTCTCCCAAGTAGGCCGCTGTCCCCCCGCTGGCCACGGAAGCCGCCCCGGCGCCAGAGGGGGCTGGGTGCAGAAGGACTCTCCACACCCGGGCGGGCGCTCTCCTTCAGGAAAATGTTTGCATGTTTAACAGTACACACCAATACTATTGGCTTGATGTCTGTATGTGTAACTTCAGGTGTCTCAGAGGTGTCCCCGTGGTATGTAAAGCAGACAGCGTTACAGAAAATCAGGAGACAGCGGCTCCACACTTGGACGCTCGGTATCTTAACACTGACAGCTCACAAACAAGAGAAGTATATTTTTAACTGCTCCAAGTGTTACCTAACGAGGTTTTTTATACTTTGAAAGTCATTTCATACAGAGTTTCCGGCAGATAAATATTTTAAGAACTGCTCCATGATTACTACTTGACCACCTACTATAAGAAACCGAGGTCACAGAGAGAGCACATTTTTCACTAAAAGGAAACTAAGGACATTTATATTCAAAATCAGCTGCCTTTGATAATTCCTACTACTCTGAAATTAGAAAAGCACTGCATGATCTGATATTAAGAAATAGGACGGGCTGCATTTATGGAGACAAATTTAATAATAGAGATAACGTGTAGTATGTTAGAGTAGCAGGTCAAGTGTTTTCCCCGAGGAAAATTTTAATTGCCTCAAAATTCTTTTCTTTCTTTGGAAAATGACTTTATTTCCTACCCCACCCCAGCCCCTCCACTAACTGAACAATGTCCAAGGAAGAAGAGCGAGTCGTCGAAGCCGCGCCTGCGTCACGACCTGCTCGGCCCCGCGGCCGAGCGCTCTGCCCCGGCCCCGGCCCCTCCTGCCGCCGCGCTTGTAGAGCTTCGGTGTCGAGAAGCTGTAGCTGAGTCCGTCCCACTTGATGTCCTTGTACGTATTTCATTATTGACTTACTGCTCTGTTAGCTTTTGTATATGAATCTTTAATGTTCAGTAAAAAATAAAAAAAAAAAATGACTGGTCTTCGGAGAGTACATCCTTTATTTTTTAATTGAGATTTCAGTGGACTCATTTCCTAAAATACTCTAAGGAAACTGCAATGCACCTCCTTCGGGAGTCTCCTGCGCTCTGACCGCACTCTGCAGGGGTCACTGGAGGAGGTTGCTTAGATCCGGTGCGGGGTCCCGCCCCGCGCTGCCGGCCTCGCCCTGTCCTTGCAGGCCTCCTCCCGGGCCCGTTCCCAGGGGGCGCTCCGTTCGCTCCCCGGAGCTCTCTGCGGACCCCAGTGCAGGGCGCAGACGTGGGGCCCTCTATTTCTTGTTCGCGTGAACAGAAGCGGGGGTGGGGGACGGGTCCCGCCCCTCGCAGGCTCCTCGGAATTCCGGAGCCTGGTGGAGTCGGGACTGGCCACACAGCACCACGGCGAGCCTTCCAGGCTGGAACTCCACTGCGCCCTCCGCAGCTGGCTCGTTTGGGTCTCACGGATAGCACGGGACGGAAGGGTGCGCTCAGCGCCTGTTGTCCTCTGGGGACCAGGGCAGATTTGCAGAGCACACGGGTGCGCGCTGCCGCTCTAAGCGTGACGGCTCCAGAACGGAAAGCAAAGGGCAGGCTGGGGAGGACGCTCCTTCGCACCTACCGTTTGCTCTCCCTCCTCGCAGTCCGCACAGTTTGGATTTGCCCTGCGGCCTGAGGACAGAGCTGTTGTAAGCTGGGTCCCGCCGCTGACGTGCACAAGCCCGCAGCTCTGGCCACTGGGCACACTTGAACGTGACGCCTTCCTCGCGCGGTGGCGGCGCGGAGAGGCGCGCCCCAGCCCAGCTGCGCTTTGCCGAGTTCCGGCCTGCAGACAGCGCCCCCGCGTGGCCGTGCTGTGGGAACGCTAATCTGGTGAGCACATTGTAAAAGGCATCCCTTGTTTTCTCCTTTTGGCTTTGTGCTGCAGATAATTCAGCGTTTGCCACTTTCCATGAGGCTAGGAGAATCACCTCAGCAAGGAAAGCTACAATTTTCCAAAAATACTTACAAGCGACAAGTCGGGAATATTGTGCTAAACGCTCTCTTCTTTTTCTGTATTTTAGGGAAGGTCTAAAAGGTGTTCAGGGTCTCACTAGTAGATCGGACTCGTGGTGATCCGCCTGTTTACAGCCTGCCAAGAGCTGGGATTACAGGCGCGCGCCTCCATGCCCAGCGCCCCGGGGGTGGGGCCGGCACGGCAGGCCTGGGGATCGAACCCTCGGATCCTGTGCCTGCTTGCAGGCGCTTTAATCCGCTGAGCTATTTGGCAGCTGTTAAACAATCTCTTCTTAAACAGTCTTACACAAGCAGAGCGATGTTTTTACACAGATATTCCGGGGCTTGCACTTCACGTGTCAGGCTGGGTGCTCGGGTCCCCTCCACAGAAGCCTCAACGCGGCCACCTCCCAGGCAGGCCGCTTGCCGCGGGCTGCAGAGGAGGAGGCGCTGCACCCGCAGAGGGGTCCTTGGCCTCTCCGCATGGCGTGCCCAGCAGGTGGTCCCAGCCGCCCCGCTCTCAGGGCGAGGGCCACAGGGCTCCAGGCACTGGCCGCAGGAGCGGGCGAGCCGGGAGCTGGCTGCCTCTTACCTGCCTGCTGCGCGGGCGCGGGCGCGGGGTGAGCGCTGCCGCTGGGGCCGCTCTGGACCCGGGCCCCGCAGGAGGCAAGCCCCCCGCAGTCAGCGTGCTCGAAGGACTCCCGGATGGCGGCTCCGGGGAAACCCCGAGTTCCCAGCCTCAGGAAACTCGGCGCTCCCTGCCGCGCCCCCTCCCCTAGGCCGAAGTGCTGGAGCTGGGAACGCAGGCTGCAATGGCGCCCGCTCTCCACCCGGCTCGCGGGCATCCGGAGCGGCACGAGCTTGGGGCGCCCCCTGCTGGGCGCATCGCCCCTGAGCGGAGCCGCTTGGAGGAAGGCTGACCTTGCGGAGCAGAGACCGACCTGGGACCGTGACCTCAGCCGCCGCCTGCTGCCCGGGCGCCCTCTAGGCGACTTCGGTTCCGGCCAGAGCCCGCGGCGTGTGGCTGGCCTCTGCGAGGCACAGGCGGGCACTGCGCTGCGTGCTGCAGGAGCCGACCGCAGGCAGCCACGCTCCGCCGCCTGCTTGCAGGCCCCACGAGCTCGCCCTCGAGCCTTCACGCCCGCGGGTTTCCTTGAGGTCACTGCCCGTGGAAGCTAAATAAATCTGCCTTGGGCTGGGGATATAGCTCAGGGCGTGAGTGCCTGTCTGACAGGAACGAAGTCCTGAGTTCGACCCTCGGCATCCAAAGCAACAACAACACCAACAATGATAATAATAAATAGAACAGTAGACGCTCTCGATTTCTGGCCGGCGAGGTCGCCCAGTGGGCTAAAGGGCCTGCTTAGGCACGCTTAGGCAGCCACAGGGGACCCGGGGACCACACCCTGCAACAGCCCCGCCCTCAGGCCAGGCTGAACCGGCCTATATAAATAAGTAGATAAATAAATCTGCCCCCACGTCACGGGTGAATTTTTGGTGTTCTGTCTGCTGCTGCGCCTGTGGTTGCCAGCCCTCCACTAACAGTCCCGCACTGCAGCGGGAAAACACTGCTTTGAGTCGGGGAAGTGGGCAGTGAAAACAGACCTCAGGGACAGGCCGATTCGAGTACCAAGCGTCAGGGACCGGGAGCCTTCGATCACTGCCACTCGTCTCCTAGATCGACGAGTTCTTCGTTTTTGTTTGTGAGTTTAAGTTTTGTGTGTTGCTTTGCTTGTGTTGTCTTCTAAGACAGTGGTGCTGTGTGTGTAAAACATCCAAAGAACTGTAAATACGCAAACTCCACGAATGACCACTAGAGGGCAGCACCACCTCATCTTTAGTTAATGATGGGGTCTATTCCCAGAGTGAAACCATCTTAAATAATTTACTTGAGGGAAATTGTGCACGTCATACAGTTTTGGTTCATGGATAATTGTACTTGGAGGAAATAATACATATGTAGAAGTTTGGACACTGAGGTGCGTTGTGTGTGTCCGTACAAGGGTTTCTATCAATACGCAAGCACAATGTTTTCCTGTTAAAAACAGTTTAATCAACAGATCTATTCTCTTTTTTGAAAATGTATTCATATATTTATTGGATATTGCACTTATATCTAGAATAAGTGCTAAAAAATCTTTCATAAATAATACAAAAGTAAATTGCAATTCCAATCCTTCACTAGCTCATTTCAGGGGTACTACAATTAATTAGAGAAACATTAGGCAGAGCAAAACAACGCAAACAAAATCCAGAAGTTGCTTTTTGTCCTCAGAGGACTGAGGGAAGGGTGAGGTGGCACACAATACACCCACCCTTTCAGTTTGGCGAGTAATGCTTATCTTGCAATGAAAAGAAAAAATATTATTTTAAAATGTAGAAATATTGAAAATCACATCGTACAGGATCAAGATCAGGAGAGCCGGGTTCCCGGTCGCGCTCGGGCGCCGTCGCGCCATTCCCCGTTGCGGCGCGCACGGGCGCTGAGATGTCTCCGCTGCTCCAGCATCATTTTCTCCGTTAGGCCCTGATCCTTCAGATACCGCGAACGCCCTTAGTCTTGGTGAAGGAGAAGTCGGGTTCCTGTGGGAAGGTGGCACTTTCCCAGCTGGCGTCTCGAGCTCTCCTGCGCCCTGGATGCCAGCACCACCGCGCTCTCCAAGGCCCGGGCCTCTCCCAGGGGCAGGGCGTTGGCGGGAGCCCAGCGTTGGGGCCTCAGCTCCAGGCTCCACCCATTCCCGCGCACAGGACAGGAGCTCTAGGCAGTTGTGCGCAGCGGAAAGGATCGCTAGAGTTGCCTGGGAAA